CCGGAGCAGCAGGACCCAGCTGAGCATCCCAACGCTCCGCATTGTCCCTGCCAGGCTTTCCCAACCCCGGGATCTGGGGAAAGCACAAACCTTTCCCTACCAGCAGCAGCACAAAGCTGTTTGCTTCCACTGCTTTGTGGATTTATTTTTTTTTTTTTCCTCCCTGTTAGGTTTTCTCAGGAAAGCAAAGCCCCGGCAGGTCCGCAGCGAGCGCTTTCCTGGGCTGTAAAATTCCCCATTATCCACCTCTGCCTCCTTTGCTGTGGGATTTAAGGGTGCCTCCTCCTTGAGAGCAGGGAGATGTCATCATTTTGTTGGGCTACCACCTCTGACAGCCTTGTCTCTCCCAGTTTGTGCTCACAGTGCTGGGAAAAGGAAAGGGGAAAAAGCTGAGAGGGAAAAAAAAAAAAAATCAACTAAGACTAAATTCTTCCCTAATTTATTCCTGTTATTTCTCCTGCTGCAAAAATAAACTCTGTATATAAAAAAAGAGACTTAAATTAAGGTCTCTTGCTCCCACTGCATTTTGAGATAAGTTATTTGAATCCCTGGCTGATCTATTTTAACAAATATCATCTCCCGCGTCCATCACTCCTCCTGTCTTTTTGATCTCCTTTTTCCTACTTATCATGTTCTTTATTTGAAACAGATTTTTAACAGATAATCTCCGCCGTTATAACAATATCTTGCTCGCATTTTATTCAAATAATTCTTAAAAACAGCTTAAAAAGCCGTTTGGAATAACATCAAGCTCTCCATCAATCAAACAGCAAAAATTCCGCTGGCGGTTGTATAAACATCAGATCAACTCCGACGTCTTCAAGGATTTCAGAGCAAACCATAAAAAACTCCATTAACTTCTGACAAAGAATGCAAATTAATCACAACATGGGGTGAAATGAAATTAAAGGCTCTTTTCTAATCAATGACAAGGCAGGATGAAATATTTGGTGCCGGGATGCTCCCGATTTTTTTTTTTATTATTATTATTATTTTTTTTATTATTATTATTTTTTTTTTTCCCCTGGCGTGGAAAAGGGGGATTCACCCGGGGTGCCTCTTTAGCCCTCCCCATCCCTACAGCGATCTGCTTACAAGTCGCCCCAGCTCCACAAAACACACTAATCATCCGAATCTCAGGTGCATCCAATTTGTTATTCACACTCTCCCGGTGCCAGAAAAAAAGAAAAAAAAAAAAAGGGAAAAAAAAAAGAAAAGAAAAAAAAAACCAAAAAAAAAGCCTGGCGTAGACAGATGCACCGGGAACCTTAAATGACAGTTTTGGCCTCCGGAAGTGCGATCGCTACAGCAAAATCTAGTACAGCCTCCAGGTGAAATGTCTGGAGCTCCATATGGAGCAGGGAAAATTAACAACAAGATGAAAATCGCTGTAGCAGCGGGGAGTCGGAATTTAACAAAAAAAAAAAAAAAGGGAAAAAAAGAAAAAAAGGAACGGAGGAAAAAAAAAATAAAAAAAGAGGGGAAAAAAAATTTTAAAGATGAGGGAAGAGAAGTAATAAATTAATGGGGTGTGAAAACATTCAAAGCTTTACAATACCAGGGGCAGTATTTGCTCAGATTTGGGGGGGAGCAGCAGGGTGGGAAGGGGGAGCACGGGATGGGAGGGGGTGGAATGAGGGATGGGAATATTTTTGGTGCTTTTCTTCCTTTAAAAAATAAAAAAAATCCAGGTCGTTTTAATCTAATTTATTAAGAGAAGGCCGGGATTGTATTTTTCTAAATGTAAAAGTCTGTTAAATCAGTGGTGGTGGTCCTGCAGCAGCTGAATCCTCGGCAGGCTGAGTGGGAATATTCCCCATTGGATGAACCCTCCTTTTCCCACCCTGCTTTCTGCAAAGTTTCACCACAAGCCGAGGATATTTAGTGGGCAATTCCTTTCATTTCTCCTAAACTGCATTATCCTTAAACAAGTCATTGCCCCCACCCTGGTTTTATTGGTGGAATTTTTGTTCAGATCTCTGGCGTTTCAACATCAAATTTAATTAAATATTCAAGGGGCTGTGGCCTTTTGGGGTATCTGCTTTTCCTTCCAGTTTCAAAATAATGTAAATTAAGGTGAAACTTTTAAAGGAAAATTTAAAACTTATTTTCCTTGGGTGCCGTCCCTAAAAAGCTGGATGGGTAATGGACCGGCACCCTTGGAAAAGAGGTTTCCTTTCTTTATTTTTAATGTTTATGTAGCAAATAACTTGATTCAAGAGTATTTGTGAGCACATGCACCATTCTTATTAATTAATAGAGTGGTGCAAATAAATCCAGAATGAATTTGTCCTTAAAAACTTCATTTTGTACCCAAAGAAAATCCTATAAGCATCATTCCCTCCCATTTCCAAAGGGACTTTTACATTTTACAAAAGCACATTTCATGACCACGACAGGAAAACCAACACCAAAACAATGAAACGCACCAAAAATTCAGATATTTACTCCATTTTAACCCTCTAGAGTTCCCTGTGCAAAGTTTTTAGAGCAGAAAAGTCACTTCTGAGCATCATTATTTGTTATTTCCCCGCTCAGATTGCTCCCTTTTGCTGTTAGAGGCTGACTATGAAGATTATATTCTGTATATTGAGACAATATTGAGATTATGAAGATTATATTCTGTACATTGAGACAATATTGAGATTATGAAGATTATATTCTGTACATAGAGACAAAAAAATATAATAATATAATTAGAGTTAATAATTATATATTAACTCTAAACAAACCTGTAAGGAACTTTACTGACGCAGCAGTTGCTCAAAGTGCTTTCAAGATAAGACTTGTAAAGATTAAATAATTATTAATAAATCAGCAAAATAAACATTTATAAAATAAAGATGTGGGAAGTCCTGCCATGAAAATATTCTACTGAAGGCCAGAAAATGAAATAATCACCCTTTAGTTTTACTGGCAGATTGCAGGATGTCCTGAATTTCCACACTGCAGTGATTTCCCCCTATAAATCTTCTTCATTTAAACTGAATTTACACACACCATTTGTCTGTGTCGTCAAAATAAAGAAAAAAAGAAAGAAAGAAAAAAAAAGACATTTTTTGCAGCTGCAGCTGGAGACAAACATCCATTTGCAGGAAATTTCAGGTGTTCTCACCCACGTGGCCACACTCTCCATTCCCACAGGGAAGCAACTTGGAGGTTTTTAGGGACAAATCTGGAACCAGGCACTGATTAACTCCATTCCCTGAATAACCCCACTGAAGTGAGGAGGAATTACTCAAGGAACAAGCAGAATCAGGCCCTTACTAGGAAAATAATGAGATTAAAACCCCCCTATTAATTATCCCCCTAACCAAAGAAGGTTTCCAAGGGTTCTCCTGCCCAGCAAATGCCTAAAATACATAAATTCACATAAAATCCCTTCTGAAAAGCAGTTGCTTGAAAAGCTTAATAGCCACATTTTAAAAGTTTCACCTCCTCGACTGTTTTGCATTAAAAAATATATACAATTTCATGGACTGCTGCCTTGCCAAATATTCTTTCACAAACCCGATCTGCTTTTTAATTAGAACAGCAAAAAGCATCTTTAAACTTGGCAATCATGGTTTGCTCCCAGTTCAGGGAGACATTTTTGCCTGGAACCACATGGAATGTGCCCGTTCCAACCTCCTTCCCCCTGCTCTGACACTTCCATCAGGTTTATTTTGAATTATCCCCTCACCCCTTTGGATTTTGGGCTATAAAACACCAAAACACCACCATGGAGACCCTCAGAGAGCTCCCCACGCATGGAGGGCTCTTCAACACAAGTTTCTTTTCCAATCCTCCCCTCCAAAAACCCATTTAAAATCCAGATAAAATATTCCAAGTCTATTCTCTTAACGGTGCCAGTGAACATTTTGCAGAGGAAACAACAAAAAAAAAAAAAGTGAAAAATCAGAATATTTCCACCCAGGCAAAACCTTCCCAAGTCTGTAAAAGTGTCAGGAGAATTTGCTTAAAACAGCTTCTAAAAATGGGAGAGGGAATGAGTCCCAGCCTATTATTCAATAACCATGTTTGTGAGGCATCTGCATAATCTAACCATGCATAAATTAGTATGTGTATTACAACAGTTATTTGCATAATAATAGCAAGTTAATAGATGCTTAAAGAGCACAGACCAACACCACCTTTAAATCAGACATGCCTCCAGGCACTGCGAGCTGTAGAGACCAAGATGCAGAGAACAGTCTTCATAAAACATATGAAAACATTAAAAAACCACATTCAAATAATTCATTTTTGTCCCTGGACACTTCACTTTTTTCCCCCCTCTCCCCGGAAAGAATAATTGGAGGAACTGCTGAACAGTTTGTTCCTGTGAATTCTAACATCCATCTCGAGATGAGAATTTCAAGTAATCGCCAAAGCCAGTTCTGGATTTGTTTTGTTCAGAGCTTGATGGGGTTTTTTAGTGTAAAAAGTGAAATATTCCGTGGTGATGCAGAGCTCAGCATCCACCCAACCACTGCCACAGAGATGGAAAGAGTTGTACCAGCAGCTTCAGAAAACACCAGTATTTACATCAAATACTAATATCAGGTTCTCTTCAAAGGAAGAATCTGAAGCTCCCTTAAGTATTCCATTCACATTCTATTTTTGAGGAGATTTTAGACCATCATACCATTATTCAAAATTGGAATTAAAAATTAAATTATAAGGAAAGGAGCAGATACACCTTCCTGCTTAAAAAAAAAAAATGTTGTAAAGACTGGATTATTTTTTTTATCTCCCGACAAAATCAACAAGATTAACATCATCATAATTTTCATTGTCTCCAGGGAAAGGAAACAGAGTTTGGAGAAGAGAAAAAGAGGGGGGCAAAAGAAGAAAAAAAAATCAATAGAGACTTCTAAATGACTCCTTCCAGCTCCCACTTTTCAATTTAACAGGACAGATTTATTTGTATGTGGCTCAAATGTTCACAATTGCTCTCTGCACCTTCATACATAGGAATGAATGTCACAGTGGCAAACAGCAGTAATGAACAATCTTACCTGAGGATATGGAAACCTCCCAAGAGCAAGCTGGGAAAGGAAATAATATTTGTCTAGTTATAGAGATTTGCATGGAGGGCACATTTCCTTCAAGTGAGAAAAGTACTCAACTCTCACGATGGTAGGAATTGGGGAAATGGCAAAAAAAAGGGATTCTGCAGACACAAAGAGCTGTATTTAGAATGGGCCCCTCACAANAAGAACTGAAGCCTCTTCTCGTCCTTTGATACGCGGGCTGCCCCAAGGCCACCCCGGGCCTTTCCAGGCCCTTCAAACAGCCGAAAACCGACATGGAAGAGCAGCAAGTGCAGCTATGGCAGCACCAGCCCCTGTCCCTGAGCACCAGAGGCGCAGCCCTGGCCCAGGGGAGGGGTGCCTTGAGCAGAGAGCACCCCCAGAGCCCCAAAACCCTGCAGAGCCCCCCCAGAGCCCCAAAACCCTGCAGAGCCCCCTCAGGTGGGCTCACAGCGCTGACCCGGCGCCGCTCTCACCGCCAGGCTGCTGAGATGTAACCGATCCCATGCCTCAGGAGGAGATCTGAAACCTCCCCTCCTTGACAGAGTCTTGACTCCAATTTTATGCAGCCAAACATCCTCGAGACTGAAGAGCCTTTAGAGAAGCACCTCCGAGCACAGCTGCTTTCCCTGGAGCATCCTCTGGCAGCGCCCTCCTCCTCCTCCCTGGGCGCTGAGTGAGCTCTTGTGCAGCTCCGTGTGTGCCCCCAGCCCGAGTGGGATGAAGGGTCTGGGCTCAGCTCTGCCTCAAGTACCAAGGAAGGCACATTTGTTGGGTAATTCCTGATTTCCCTATGTCTGGGAACGCACACAACCACTGAAAACGCATGATGGCTTCTTAAGAGATTGCTAAGAACCCTTGAAAGCTCCTGCAAATACACAGCTACTGAGAATCCTGGTCACCAAACACTTAAAACCCTCAGTCTGGGAGTTTTAAGAACTAATATTAAAGAACTAATATGAAGACCTAATATTAAAGAACTAATATTAAGACCTAATATTAAAGAACTAATATTAAAGAACTAATATTAAGAACTAATATATATTAAAACCGATGCACAAATTCCTTTTCTCTGGGGGAGACAATAGAGAATTTTCTCTCTAGTTTTCAAAGGAGACCTGGAACACAGAGGGCAGTGGAAAGCAGAGACAGAAAGTGATACAGAAGGAGGAGCAAAAAGCCAAGCCCAGGAGCTTCTACCTCCAAAATTTACCTGGTTTTGGGCATTAGCAAATTGCTTTCACTTCCTGAACTTACATGTAACACCAACTCTATCTGGAGATAAAATTAAATACCACACAATCCCAGGATGAGGTGGCTTGGGAAGGACCTCAAAGTTCATTTCCCAAGGGCAGGGAACCTTCCAGAGCCTCCCAAGGCAGCCTTGCTGCTGCTATTAAACCCCAGGCAGATGGATTTCATCCTCCCTTGGATGTTTTAAAGTTCACTTGTGGATTACAGCTAGGACCGGAGTCATATTGGAGAGTAACAAGAAATATTGGGCAATTTCATTTCTCCTCCCGTGCAGGACACGGCTCTTGGAGAGAGGGAATGGGTTCCAGGGCTCAGGCAGCCCCAGCCCAGCCTGGATGTGTTTTATGGCTGAGTTATAAACCCTGAAAAACAGCTTTTAGAAATGAAAATGCTGACACAGTGGTCAGTGTAGTGACAGCAGTGGCATGGGTTTAAATTGAACTTGCTTTGTCAAGCCAAGAGCACTTAAATAAAACACGGGGAAACCTCATGGAAACACACAAACTATTTGTGGTGGAACACTTCTGAACAGTTTCTCTGGGTTAGGGATTAAATCTCATTCCCTTCAGGAAAATCCTGAAGGAAGAAAGGCAAACTCAAAAAAAAAAAAAAGTAACAAAAATAAGATAATAATGATAATAATAACGATTATAGTAATAATCTATAATAATGATGATGATATCGCTGCATATCTAGTCTCATTATATTTTAATTTAATTTTTAATTTATTTTTTTATTTTTGAGGGGATGACTGAGCACCCTCAGACCCCTCTTGCTTCAGAGGGAACACAGGAGACCCCTCCCTCTCTTTGCCAATTTTCCATAAATCCCAATTTCCCCCATTCCCCCCAAATTCCTGTCCCCTTTGAAGGGAGCCCCAGGAAATTCTAATTCCTGCTCAAAGCTCAGGCAGGACTCCCATCCCAGATTTCCCCTCTCTCCTCCCAACTTTTTTGGAGCAGTTTCCTCAATCTCCCAAATAACACTCCCACTCCTCATCACACACAGAAATTCCAGGGCTTTTAAGGGCTCAGGAGAGCATTAAGGAAAATGAGAAGATTTACTGACAATTTACATCCTCACCTGCCAGCACAGCCCTTGCTGCTTCAATCCCACCTGGTATTTCTCCAAAATCACCGTGCTGCCAGCAGCCAGGTGTGTGGCTGGAGCACAGCTCCAATGAGTGCAGGTGATGTTAAATCCTGCAGCAAACACCAGCAAAATCCCCATTTTACCAGCAACCAGAGCGTCCCCACTCGCAATCCCCACGTCAATAGGGTGTTACTTTAATGACAGTGACCTTGTGCGCCTCTCAGAGCACCTTCCTCACCTTTCTGGAGGCATTTTTCTAAGGCACTGTCCTTGTTTTCATCATTTAACATCACTCAGAGCACTTCAATCAAGCTGCTGCTGGTGGGAGAGGTCTCTGAGGAGCAGCTGACAAACCAATTACCAAAGCACACCCAGAGCACGCTGCATCCTGCACATCTGGCTCAGGACAAACCTCTGGGAAGGAGGGAGGGAGAGGAAAGCTGGGAAGGTGCAAAACCAGAGGAGGGAATGTAAATGAAAGGAGTTTTACCCATAAAATCCAGCCAAATGAAAGGAGTTTTACCCATAAAATCCAGCCTGCACGTGGGATTGATGAGCAGCCAAGCTGGCCACTAACAACACTAAAATAAACCCCAAATATCTCGTGGTGATCACTGAGCTGCTGGGGCACAGCTTTTAAATCAGCAGAGGAACTGGGAAATGCTTTGTTTGTAAAGTCCTGTGTTTACATCACTCTTTTTATCACCCACGCCACCACAAAGCCTTCCTGGAGCACAACCTCAGCCCTTTTTTGGCCAGAGTTATTTACAGAATGTATGAATTTGGTCTGCATCTCCCCCAAAATCCTGAGGGAGGGCTCTCCAGCACCACAAACCATTCCAATGTGCACTGAAGCAAAGGAAGGGCCCTNAGGATTTAGTAATGCAGGGCCCCGACAAAAAAAAAAAAGAAAAAAAAAAGAAAAAAAAAAAAAAAGAGTTACAAATTAATTTAATCTTCTGCCTATAGTTTGCAGCTGCACTCCAAAGTGTCTGGGGCTTAAGAACAAAGCCTTGCAAGGCCTGGGAGTGAGGAAAGCTTCAATTTTTAATGTATAAGGCCATTAGCTGATAACTTGTGGAATCTGCGACCCCTGCGGAGGGGCAGGGGAGACGGATGAAGTGACAGATTTGTTGTTGGTGGCCAGGGCTGTGAGGGGGGAAGGTTATTACCAGCACCAGAAAAATGCCCTAATAACCTTTGGGACATTCCTTGGCTTGAGCAGATGAGTTCCAGCTCCGTCTCGGAGTAAAAAAAAAAAAAAATATTAAAAATCAAAGCTTAATTCGCCTTAATTAAAGATAATTAGTTTCACTTTGATTTCTTTTAAATATGAACTACAGCAAATGCACTGCCAGCTCAAGGCTGTGCAGACAATCAGGGTTAAATTGCACATTTCTGCCTGGCCACAAATCCTGGATATTAGCAGCCTTTTACTGCTGCATCTTCAAAGGTGACACCGGGAATGGCAGCGCCTTTCCCAAGGGACAAAGGTGGGCCAGGGCTTTCCAGGGAAATTGCCACGAGCAAAATCCCCACAAGTGCTCCAGGAGGGTTAATTTGATTCCTTGCTCCAGCAGAGAGGCCTCGTGCTTGGCTGTTTGCTGGGTTTAAATTCGGTACAAAAAGGGAGGAATGGGTTCAGTGTGGCTGTGCTGGTGGAAATGCAGCTCAGCTTCTGCTCTCCCCCAGCTCTGCTGCAGTGAGGGCTCACCTGCCAGGACAGGCCATTAAATCATGGGAAAAAACCTCATTTTTGACTCTTCAAAAGTAGAAACAACGACAGAGTAAGAATAGGAAGCGATACATGGAGTGACGGAATCCTGGAATGGTTTGGTGGGTGGGATTCTAAAGATGCTCTAATCCATCCTACCATGGGCAGGGACACCTTCCACCATCCCAGGTGCTCCAACCCGGCCTGGGACACTCCAGGGATCCAGGGGCAGCCAGAGCTTCCGTGCCAGGGCCTCACACATAAAAATTCACATAACCTATTCTGTTCTATACATTAAATAACCTTACAGATAAAACCCACATCCCAAACACCCAGAGCCGATGCCGTGCCTTAATTGTGCCCTCAGCCTGGGTGGAGAACTGGATTATTTATTTCCCTGCCCACAGCGGCCTAGGAGCAATTGCTGAGCAACAATGATCCATCGAGGTCTCAACCCGCGCAAACTGTACCTAAACTTCCACTTTATTGCAGCTTAGTTCACAATCTTCACCTAATATAGGGTTACATCCCAGAGCAGCAGGCGGATAAATCATCCTGGAATATTACTCTGGCTAAGTTTAGCTGGGAGTGGAGCATATGTGCTTCCGAGTCACTGAAGCACAGGCCCATAAAATACACTAATTACTGCAAGTTCTGGTCACTGCGTGATTGATAGCGCTCTGCCAGGCAACTTCCCCGGCTGCAGCCCGAGCGAGGCCTCCCCAGCACACTGCGATCATTAATTCATGGCCCAACCCTCGGGCACTGCTCCCTACACTCCCACCCCACCAGCGGCAGCCTGGACAGGCANTGATGGAAATTGAAATGGCAATAAAGGGATTCTGCAGACACAAAGAGCTGTATTTAGAATGGGCCCTTCATAACGATCACCCCTCATTTTTTCTGGGGATTTCCCTCAGTGCCACCCTTTGATACCCAAATTCAGGCACATTTC